TAGCCCTAAACGCTGTTGTATTTTGTGCCAATCTCACTGTCTCTCACACACTTACCTCCATTACTCCAGTCACTGAATCAATCCATCTCATTGAGGGTCTTCCTCTCCTGCACTGTCCCTCCACCCTCCCAAGCATGATGTCCTTCTCCAAAGACTAGTCCCTACTTGCAATATGTTAAAATATTGCAGTATGCCAGAATATGTCAGACAAAGCTTCAGAACCCTTGCCTTCAAGGAGCAGCCTGGTCTCAACCTCTCCAGGACGAACCTGTTTGTTCTCTTAGAAGTCCTTGGTATATTCAGTACTCTTCTCCAACACCACAGCTCAAAGGCATCAATTCTCCTGCTATCATCCCTAGTCATTGTCTATGTCTTTGCTGCTTAGCATATGTACAATAGAACAGGGCTTTATAGCTTTCTTAAACTTGGAGAACTATATACACGTTAATACAATGAATTTTATTTTATGCAAACTTTACCTCACCAGTATTAGAACAATTTAAGAGAGAACTGGTGAACTTGAAGCTAGAGCTGAGCAAATGATATAAAATATATCTGGAGATTAAGAGTTGGAAAATCTGAAATAAAAGCTAAGCTTCATAGAAGAAGACAAGAAGTTTCAACTAGACCTGATAGGAATTCCAAAATATTCACACAAGATTTTGAGTATAGGCTACCTCTAGGAAGAGAGAGACTAGAATATGACTGATAACAAGGACTCTCAGCTGTGTCTATAATATTTTATTTTTAAAATCTAAATTGATTTTCAGCTCAAGCTTATTGCCATTGAGTTGAAATGAATACATAGGTGATCCTCCACTGGGATTTGAGAAGCTGTAAATCATATGCTAGGAGATTACCCATTTTGCTCCATCAGAGCAGTTGGTGGATTTGAACTGTCTGCCTTTGGTTTGGCAATACAACTCCTTACCCACTAGGCCACAAGTGCTTCACTAAATAGACCAGACTATCAGTAATATTTGACAAGGCTGAGAAATTCTTGCGTATAAGAATGTTTTTTCTGTTGTCAAAGACCTCTTTTAAATGCTAAAGAGCTAGGATGTCAGTTTAATGATGGAGGTGTGCCTGATCCAAGCTATGGTATTTTCACTTGCTATATATGCTTACGAAAGTAGGATCATGAATAGGGAAGAGCAAAGAAGAATTGATGCCTTTGGATTGTAGTGCTGGTTAAGAGTATTGACAATACTGTGCACTACCAGTAAATTACTACCATCTCAATTTCAAAATCATCATAATAGGTTTGAAGCATCGAACATCAGTGATTGAAGACCAGATGAGCTATGGGATTATATAAAGGATATCATCCATGAAAAAAGTAAAAGGTGATTACGCAGACAGAGGAGAAAGAAAAAAACCAAAACATGTCAGAAGAGACTCTAAAAATTGCATTAGAGGGCGGGCTGCCCTTGGCCCCCTGCCCGGGGTGGGCTGCCCTCAGCCCCCGGCTTGGGGCGAGCCGTCGCAGCCCCCTGCCCGGGGCGGGCTTCCCTCGGCCCTCTGCCAGGGGCAGGCTGCCCTTGGCCCCCCGGCTCGGGGTGAGCTGTTGTGGCCCTCTGCCTGGGGCGGGCTGCCCTTGGCCCCTGGCTCGGGGCGAGCCGTCACGGCCCTCTGCCCAGGGCAGGTTGTCCTCGGCTCAGGGTGAGCTGTCACAGCCCTCAGGGTGAGCTCTTCAGCCCCCAGTTTGTGCCATTGTCCCCAGATTGACTCCTGGGTGGTGAAGGAGAAAAAAAAAAGAATGCCTAGGGTATCCACAGAATGTTACCTAGGTCACCTTCTGCCACCCTCCCCCCCAGTAAACCTGAAAGCAACACCCTCAAAGCCCTTCTATTTGTAACTCACTAGTTTGTTCTCTCTAGGTTTGCTCCCTTTCCTATAGGTAACCTTAACTCTGAGTTTTACTCCAGAATTGACCCTGAACCCAGTGCCAGTGACAAAAAGGAAATACAACTGACAGCTAAGGAAGCAAAGGAGGATGGAGCCTCTGGGTTCACCCAGCCATCCCCACGGGACCCACCTGGGAAAACACTTTGCATGACAGGAAAATATCTTCTAACAGAGCAAGAAGGCAAGCAGCTTTAACCCAAGACCACCAGTAATGTGATAAAGCGTCCTCCCTTCCCCCCTTTACATCTACGCCCCTGTTCAGCATGAAGAAGCCAGAGAGTCGGCATCCAATTCCCAAATCAATAAGACAGTTGGTTTAATTACCATTGGAAAATGCTTGTCATTCCTCTGTAGGATCTGGTCCCCTCTGGACCCTCATTATTTCCTTTACCTGCTCCCCCCACCGACCAAACTGTGCAGCTCTGCAACTGCACCCTGGCCCATCCTCACCCTTCTGCCCCCAACCCTCACCTCCTTGTACCCCCAATATGTTTTTCCCAATTAAAAAAAATTGCATTAGAGCATTGAGAGCCCAAAATAAAAGGAAAACATGCTGAAGTAAAAGAGCTGAACAGAAGATTTCAAAGGGCGACTCAAGAAGGAAAATATTATGATGGAGTTTGTCGAGAGCTAGAATTGAGAATAAAAATGGAAGAACTTGGCTCTGCATTCCTGAAGATGAGAGAACTGAAAAACAAATTTAAGCCTTGAGACACAATGTTGGAAGATGCTATGGGCAATATAATGAATGATCCAGAAAGCATCAAAAGATGGATGGAATTCACAGAATCACTGTACCATAAAGAACTGACACTGAAAAATTTCAGGAAGTACTATACTAGTAGGAGACAGTGATAATGAAGGAAGAAATGGAAACTGCATTGAAGACATTGACAAAAAATAAGGCCCCAGGAATCGATGGAATACCAAATTGACTTGTTTCCATTAACAGATGCAGCCTTGGATGCACTCATCAGTCTATTCCAGGAAATTTGGAGGATCGCTGTCCAAATATGGGAGAGCTCCATATTTTTTCCTACTCCCAAGAAAGGTGATCCAACAGAATGTGGAAACTACCGTACAATAACATTAATATCACATACAAGCAAAATACTTACTGAAGATTACTAAAAAATGGCTAGAACAGTACATAGATAGTGAACTGGTAGAAGTTCAAGCAGGATTTACAAGAGGCTGTGGCACCAGAGATATCACTGCTGATGTCAGATGGATCCTGGCTGAAATTAAAGAACACTTACTAGGAGAATGTCTGTTTATACTTTATTGACTTTGCAAAGGTATTTGACTATGTTTCTCATAACAAGTTAGGGCTCATATTGAGAAGAATGGGAATCCCAGAGCACTTGATTCTGCTCATACAAAACCTGTACCTGGACCCGGAGGCTGTTGTGCAAACAGAGCATGGGAATACTTCTTGTTATGTGCCATCAAGTTGCCCATGACTCATAGCTGCCCTATGTACAACAGCTCTGAACCCTGCTCTATTCTGAGCCAGTCTTACTGTCTCTGACACACCAACCCCCATTATCCCTGTCACTGAGTCAGTCCATCTCATCAAGGGTCTTTCTCTCCTGTGCTGTCCCTCCACCCTCCCAAGCATAATGTCCCTCTCCAAGGACTGGTCCCTCCTTGCAACATGCCCAAAGTATGTCAGGTGGAGTTTAAAATTAAGGAAATGCATCAGGGTTGTATTCTATCTCCATACCTGTTTAATCTGTATGCTGAGCAGAGTTTTCGAGAAGTTGGACTCTTTGTAGAAGAATGTGGCATCAGCATCAGAGGGAGACTTATCAATAACCTGCATTATGCAGATGACACAACCTTGCTTGCTGCAGGTGAGGAGGACTAGAAGGACTTGTTGCAGAAGATCAAACAGTACAACCGTCAATATGGATTGCGTCTCGACATCAAGAAAACAAAAGATTCTTATCACTGGTCCTACCGGCAACCTTAGGATAGAGAAAAGATTGAAACTGTCAACAACTTCATCTTACATGGACCCAACCACTGATAAAACATATATTATCTGTCTTGGAAGAGTGCTGCTAGGTTGCTCCTTAGTCAAAAGCATGGTGATACTTCATCTCACATCCTTTGGGCGTCTTGTCCTTGGGGGGGAAACGCCTTCATTAATTAAAAAAAGTCAATCAGTGAAAGTACAAGTTGTATTGGCATAGAGGCTTCAACAGTGGGCTTACACAGAGATTGTTAGGGTGTTGCAGGGTTGGGCAGGGTCTATTGTACATAAAGTTGCTATGAGTTGGAATTGTCACAACAGCACTTGACAACAACTTACTTTATGAAAACCTATAGATGTTTCCTAATAGGAAAAAACTTTTAAGTATCCAATTCCCCCACTTGATCACCTCTTTGCATTTTACCATCCAGGCCATATCCCCATGTGTACACACTATTTGCATAGTTTCAGCCATTCTGTACACTATTCGGGAAGCTCTGGTGGCTTTGTGGTAAGGAGTTGCAGTGCCAACCCAAAATCTGACAGCTGATCCTGTGGAGAAAGATGAGCAGTCTCCTCCTGTGCCATTTACAGCAGGGTATGGGATGAGTCAGTTCTGACTCGATGGCACATAACAACAACATATATTACTATTATATATTACTATTTTGTGTTTTGTGTTTTTCTGTTTTCTAGGCTTTGGATGATAAGTAGTTATCAATGTTTATTAAAGGAATTATAAAGTATTAAGAAAAGGAAGACATTACTTACACTACTATCTTTACATGATTTTATGAATTATTTTGATAGCTTGATTTTCCCCATTAATATTTTAAACTTTTGTTTTCACTTTTATGACTTTGACTAAATTCCAAGATGATTTTCCTTATGTAGTTATTACAATATCTTGTTAAGGGCCTACAGGAGAAATCTCATTCTTTGCCTCTTTTTTAAAGTAACAACATATTTTGTACATTTCCGCCTGTAAATTTGATATTTTGCAAGTTAACAAGTATTCTTTCTGTCAGCTTTTCAGATTGAAATTTTATCCTACATAATAAATGAGAAGTGGAATATAATTTTCAGTGATGTTACCTAATTTTGTGTTTGCTAGATCCCATTGAGGAGGAAGATGCAAACCTTCTCTTTGGTTCAGTGCAAGAGGTACTGAAAGCAGCAGTTATGGCTGATGCAGATATTCTTTCGGACACATTGCAGCTGCTGGTTGACTCTGCCAAGGACTTCAGTAAGAAGCTGTGGGGCTTAGTGCCGGCAGGCTTGTACCTTCCAGCTCCTCCATTGTATTGTCCTCAACCAGCAGTTCTTAGTGAAGTAAGTGGAGTGCATTAAAGTTGAAATTCACTTAAAATTGATTATGTCCAATTTGCAAAATAGTTACTTGATAATAATCATTGTACAGTGTACCACACTTCTGTTTACCTTTACCATTGAGTTAATTCTTACTGATATCACCCCTGTAGGACAGAGGAGATCCCGTCCTAAAGGGTTCCCAAGGGTCTACATTTTTAAAAAGAAATTTTTATTGGTTGCATGCAGTAATTAGTTTACATTGTTTCACTCATTGGGTTTATACAGTCTTCCATTTACATTGTGTTTCATATAATCATTCATATGTGTTGTATTTTATGTAATTACTATTAATCTATGTCTGTTATAACCACTTTTGGAGTTCCTATTGAATCTTTTCTGTTCCTTCACCTTCCTGTCCCGCCCCCTGTCCCCATCCGTCCTCTAAATTCTGCTATCCTAGTGACTTCCACCCTTCTCTTTTTCCTCCTCCCCTTTCACTTTTCCCCTTTCTCCGTCTGGACATTTAAACGCTTCTTACTAGTTATCCTTCTATTTTTACAGTAATGGGCTCATGCTGTGTTTATGAGGCTGAGTTCACTCAGCATAATGCTCTCTAGAATTTCCCATGTTATATTTTAAGATGTCTTTATTCCTTTATGCTGCATAGTATTCCATTGTGTGAATCTACCACAATTTTTCTGTCTGTTTGTTGATGGGAGGGTATACATTTTTATGCAAGTCCAGTGCCTCTGTCTTTTTTCTCTGTGGAGTGATGGATGTATTTGAACCATCAGCATTTCTGTTGGCAGCTGAGAATTTAACCATTTGTTACTGGGGTTCCTTATTTGTAAAATGCAGATGATAGTGGTTCTGATCTTGTAGCATTACTGTCAGGATTAAATAAATACTGTAAAAAAATTTTACCTTCTTGCCTGGGCCATATAGTAAGCAGTCAACAAATATGAGAAGATTGTTAATAATACAGAAAAATTAGAAGATAGTTCTCAATGTCCAGTTACTCTACAGTAGGGTTTTATTTAGGATAACAAACAAAATAATGAATATCAGAATTTACAAGTTTACTTTATTTCAGTCTTTTATTCATCACATGATTTGCCTCTTTTGAAAGGTTTTTGATTTAAAAAGTCATTTTCTTTTTCTTGGTGATTCTTTTGATCTATCTGTCTTATAAATACCAACACTGTGTTCATCTTTTCATCTGCTCTTACTTAAAATCATAAAATAATTAGCAGTTAAAAATTTTACTCTGCAATTGTAGTAAATGATTTACATTTGAATTATTTAATATTTGATTAATATCCTGAAGTGGTTCTAGTGTTTCTTTGTTACTTAGTATTTCAGTATTAGCAGTTTCTATCTGCAACGATGTCACTGTGGAGACTAAGGTGCTTCTGATAAAAAAGTAACTGCATCAGAGAGCTGGACAATGACTAGGGATGATAGAAGGAGAGTTGATGCCTTTAAACTTTAGTGCTGGAGAAGAGTATTGAATATACTATGGGACTGCTAGCAGAACAAACAAGTTCGCCTTGGAGAGGGTGAAGCCAGGCTGCTCCTTGGAGGCAAGGATTCTGAAGCTCCTTCTGGCATACTTTGGACATGTTGCAAGGCAGGATCAGTACTTGGAGAGGGACATCATGCTTGGGAAGGTGGAAGGGCAGCGCAGGAGAGGAAGACCCTCGATGAGATGGATTGATTCAGTGACTGGGGTAATGGGGATAGGCATGTTGGAGACAGTTAGATTGGCACAGGATAGAGCAGGGTTTAGGGCTGTTGTACATGGGTCACTATGAGTTGCAGGTGACTTGATGGCACAACAACAACTGCACCTAGTTTTTTCTTATTTGTTGTATTTAGACTTACGTTTTGACAGTTTAAAAGGATCTCATTTGATATTACAACATTCCACTACTAGAATTAGATAATTAAGATTAGAATTACTAGTAATAGATTTAAATTACTATTTTAGGAAGCAGATTTAGGATTAGGATCCCTTTAGCCCTTTATTTTGTTTGAGAGGAGATAAGCACTACTGAGTACTTGAAATAGGATCATCATAGTTTGAGGAGCTGATAGAGTGACTGCTTCAGTGATGGGTTTATGCACCACGCAGACTGTGAACATCGCACAGGATGACCAGCTTTGTTCTGTTATACACATGGTCTCTATGGCTCAATGCTGACTCCGTGGCACCTCGCAGCAGCAGCAGCAGCATCAACAACAGCCAAGCCCTTGTACTAGCTATGAGGTTGGCAGTTCAAACCCACCAGAGGAGCCTGGAAAGACAAGGCAGTGATCCATTTCCAAATGGTTCTTGCCCTGAAACCCCAGTGGAATAGTTTTCCCTTGCAAACATAGGGTCACCATGCGTCAAAATGATTTGATGGCAACTAGCAACTGTATTTCTATTTTTACTTGAGTTTTAAATTTCAATAATCTAAAGTTTATTGTTTTAATTTTTCTATCAGGAAGATGGTGATGATTTTCTTGTAAAAGCTGAAAAAGGTTATCGGCAAAAGGTGTCTGGGATCCTTCAGCGCATTCTCTTGCTTTTCCGGGCAGCTCGGTGCTCTTTTCCGGCTGCACAGTGGTACATTTTGCGGTTGAGGTGGGCACGGAAAGTCATGCAGAAGGTATGGAGTCTCATAGTCATGCATGTGCTGTGTTAAATTATTTAAGCATGATGATATTTATTTATAATTGTGATGCTTTTTCAAGGAGCCCTCCTCTGCAGACCAGTATATTTCAGGTTTATTTACAGTAGGTCATCAAGACACTAGTCTTGTTAGTACTGTTAAAAGATAAGAACTC